CCTTCTTGCCTATTATTATGAGAGACATTTGTCTGCAAACAGCTTTGGAGATTTCGTCTGCTCTTGTCCACTCCCCCTGCCCCCGCAACCCAGGCCTCGCTCCTTCCTCCAGTCTTAAGGCTCCCAGCCTCACCCAAGGAGGCTGTGACACAAGGCCTGTGGGCCCCAGGGCAGGGGGACAGGGCATGGGGGCAGCGTTGCTGCAGGGCTGCGCAGTGGGGAGAGGGTCTGCCCTGGGGGCCGATTCCTGGCTGAGGGCAGCTCCGCTTTCTGTCCCTGCAGCCTGGCCGCGGTACCGGGTGGTGGGCTCCGCGGACGCCGGGCAGTACAACCTGGAGATCACAGACGCCGAGCTCTCCGACGACGCCTCCTACGAGTGCCAGGCCACGGAGGCCGCCCTGCGCTCCCGGAGGGCGAAGCTCACCGTACTCAGTAATGACCCAGCCCAGAGGGCACCCCCTTCCTGGCTCTCTCTGCACCTTAGAGACCCCCCTTCTCCAGTTACCTCTGTTACTGTCCCTCTCTATCTCAGGCCCCACTGTTCTCTCTGTCTCCTCGGTTTTCCACCCTAATATCTTTTTATACATAACCGTCTTCCAAAGCCAAGTCCAGAGAGAAGGGAGCAGAACAGACTTGTGGCATTAAGTGGTGGGCTGGTGGGCTGTGTGAGGCCTGGCGTCCTCTGGGCGAGTTCAGGTCCGAAGACTGGGCTCTGCCTCTGGACACACAGCTCCCCCAGAGTGGAAAGGAGTTGGCATGCTGGGGACCTGACCCCCCATGTTCACAGCCTCCCCCTCAGCTGCCCCAAGCCTCAGACATTGCCCCTTTTGCTTCTCACTCACCTCCCTTTGCTGCCTCCTTTCCTCCCCCACCACCTACTCTCCTCTCTAGATTGGCCTTGGCCTGGAGGTCTACTCAGGAAACAGGAGCTGGACAGGAGGAAGGGCCTCAAGGGCTGAGACCTGAGGAGAACTTAGGGGTGGGGTGCAGCCCAGGTTGGAAGCCAAACTCCAGGCTGCTGCACAGAGAGGACATGTGCTATGTGGTAACCTGAGGCCATTTGCACACCAGGGAATTGTCTGCAGCACAGAGCTGGGGTGAGACCTGAGACAGGCCTGCTCTTTGACTCTCCCACCTCTTCCGGGCCCCTCATTTGGTACCTCTGGCTCCATTAGTCTCTCTGGCTCCCTCAAGCTCTCCTTCGGTCCCAGCTCTCTCACCTGTAGTCAACAACTCTCTCCCTTTCTTCCTGACTCAATTTGACCTGTCCTGTCCCTTCTATTCCTCCCCAAACCTGGTTCACAGAAGTGGGGCATATCCACTGGGGGGTAGGAGGGGATGGGAAGGAAGAGCTAGGAGCTGAGATGAGTAGGGATGCAAGTTTTGGGGGGAGGTTGTCACAGAGAATGTGACAAGCAGCAGGAAGAAGCCTGGACTGGGAGTCAGGAAATCTGACGGTTTGGCACCCGCCTTCTCCTGAAGAAGTCACGCCCCTGGATGTCAGCTCTCTCCCTGGCGGTAATGTGCCAGTCGTTTCTAGCGGCGGCCCTTTGCCACTCCCTGCGCAGGGAGTTGTACTCCGCGAAGGTCTGGGAGAATGTGCGGTGCCAGAATGAGTACAGATCGGAGGGACCTACGGCAGTTCTGTGGGTTCAAACGCCCTGGAGGACCAGGGCTTAAAGCCTGTGGCTGCCTTGTTTTTCTCCCCGGCTGAGAACAGAATGGGAGGAACCAGCAGAAGTAGGACGCAGGTTAGGGGTGTGCAGACATCGGACATCATCTCCTGCCCTCGCTGGCATGCACTGTCCATCAACGGTGTTTGAGGAAGGAAGTTGCTCTCTAAATAAGTTGGCCTCAGTGAATCCACGCAGGGGTGCTGTCACCTTCCCACCCGCACCTGTGCGGCTGCCCGGCAGAGGAGCTGAGGGGACCCCCTTCCTGTGCCAGGGCCCCAGGTGTGAGCTGTACTCAAACCCTGAGGTGCCCGGCCCTTTCCTAACTGGACCTGCACCTTTATCTGCAGTGGCCAGCCTTGAGCAAGGATGGGGTGATAGCACAGGAAAATAGGGCAGGCTGGGAAAATGATGGACCCGGGCTGGGGAGCCATGCCCGCTGTGACCTTGGGGAAGCCACTACAGGATCAATGGGTACAGTGACTGTAAGTTGGGGTAAGGGTGACCCACTCTGCCAAGGGTTGCACAAGCAAAGGGAGGCGTCCTCTAGGGGCAGAGGTTTGGGTTTCAGGGCAACTGGACGGACTTTGCTCTGCTTCTCCCCTCAGTCCCCCCAGAAGACACCAGGATTGATGATGGGCCTGTAATTCTGCTGCAGGCCGGCACCCCCCACAACCTCACCTGCCGAGCCTTCAATGCCAAGCCTGCTGCCACCATCATCTGGTTCCGGGATGGGACACAGCAGGAGGGTGCTGTGGCCAGCACGGTGAGGCCCACTTCTCCTCCAGCTTCTCCTGGGCCTCAGCTTCTCCTGGGCCTCGCTCCAAGTCAGCTTTCCTTTGCCACTTGGGTTTGGCCGTGAACTCAGGGAGACAGCCTCAGAGTCATCTTGTCTAGTCCTCACCTTATACAGTTAGCTAAACTTGAGGCTAGAGAAAAAAAATTAGTTGCCACATTCACACTGCCATTGCGTAGCTGAGCAGAGACTACGAATAATGCTGCTAATGGCTGTGTGGATAAAGCTTCCGCTGTGTGCACGGTGTATCCTGAGCTCAGCATGGACAGTGTCAGTCCCCACAGGACTTTCGTAGGCAGATATTATTTCTGACTTGCAGAGGGAGCTGATGGTCAGAAAGGTGAGTGTTTGCCTGAGGTCACACAGCTGGCATGCAGCCGAGCTGGGGGTGCCACCTGGGTCAGACTGCACCCTCTGCGCCCTCTCTCTACAGGGCACGTTGTCTCAGCTCTCAGCAAAGCAAGGAGCACTGTGTATGTTTTACAGACGGGGAAGCTGTGCCAAGAAAGACATCAAGTGATTTGCCCAGGGTCACGTGCAAAGTTGACGTTTGACCTAGAATTAGAATTCAGCTCTCCTGTTTGGGTTCCATCTGCTAGTGTGAACAAATGTATGTGGGTACCCAGGTGCGTACCTCACCTGCAGGGAGAGCATGGCTCACCTGTGATCTGGTGTGGCCTCAGAGAGTTCCTGGATTAGATCTCTCCTTGACGTGCTGTGTGGCTTTCAACAGTGCATGTCTCCCTGGCTTTAATGACACCCTTTAAGAAATAAGAACTGGGCCTCAGTGGTATTTTATCCTTTTCACCACCAAGAAAGCTGCTATTTTTCTCTAGGGCTAACTGCATGTTTTGCAGTATTTTGGCAGAACCAAACAAGCGGACTTGTTAGTGGCCATTTATTGTCCACATCCATTTTTTTTTAAGATTTACTTATTTATGCATACGGAACTGGGGTACAGGCCAGAAGCTCAGGGGCAGTGATAGAATTCATCAGAGACAGAGCGGGGAACAGAACAGACCGTCTGACGAAGTACACCGCTGAGGGGAGCAGCGGGCAGATCAGGAGAGGTCTGCCATGCCATGTGGTCACCTCCAGGGCAGGCATTGAACTCATGCTGAAGTGGCTTTAGCTTCTTAGTGCTGTGCTTTAACCCACTGCGCCACTAGGGAAGGCCCATCCACCCCCATTTTTATATCCAGTGAAGATGATGGAGCTTTGAAGCAGCACGAGGGAGCAGTGTTACTGCATCAAGCCAGTGTTGTACCAACCCAGCAGGGACCTGGGCGTTGTTGTCAAATTGTGGGCCTTACTTTGGTTAACAGAATGGGTTTCCTTAGTCAGCTTGCAATTTGACCGTATGTGGGGCCTCTGGTTGGCAGCCACTAAGCTACTAAGTGTGAGACTTGGAGGCTGCGTCCCTGCCCTGCCTTCAAGGATGTATGTCTAGCAGGGGACACTCAAAGCTGGCATGCTGACACAGGTACCCAAGAGGTGAGGCTGGGCACACAGACCCTCTGACCTCGGGCATGTCCAGGCTGGAAAGTCCTGAGTGCTAGGAGGCCAAACAGACTGCAAAAGAGCAGGGACTTGATCTGGACCCAGATAATTCCAGGAATGAGGCTCAAAAACAAAGAGGGACACTGGAAAACACAGAGAGTGGACTCTGATATAAATTGTAGGCTTTCGTTATAATAATGTGCTGATATTGGTTCATTGTAATCCACGCAACACACTAGTACATCAAGTTGATTAGTAGCAGGGAAAGTGCTGGGGTGGGGAGGACATATGGAAACTCTGTTTGCTGTTCAATTTTCCACAAACTTAAAACATCTCTTTAAAATAAGGTCTATTGGGCCCTCCCTGGTGACAGAGGGTTAAAGCACAGCACTAAGAAGCTAAAGCCACTTTAGCATGAGTTTGATCCCCGCCTACCCCAGAGGTGACCACATGGCACGGCAGACCTCTCCTGACCTGCCCGCTGCTTCCATCAGCAGGGCACTTCCTCGATCTGCCTGTTCTGCTCCCCACTCTGTCTCTGGTTAATCCGCTCACCGCCCCTGCGCCTCTGACTTGTACCCCAGTTCTGTTTGCACAAATAAATTTTTAAAAATAAATAAATAAGGTCTATTAATAACAAAACCAGGACCTCTCTGGTGGTGCAAGAGGTTAAGTCCCAGCACTATAAAAGCTTTCTGGGCACAACTTTGCAGCACAAGTTCAATCCCTGGCCAGGGAGCTGACCCACATGGCACAGCAGATCTCTCCTGTGTCCCCAGCTGCCTCCCCTTAGGAGTGTATCTCAGAAGATCTGCCTGTTCTGCTCCCCACTCTGTCTCTGGTGCATCCTCTCACTGCCCTGCACCTCTGCTTATACCCCAGCACTTATATGCATAAATAAGTAAACATGAATCTTTTCAAACAAAACCAAATCTGGAGAATAGGTTGGGCTAATGGGAAGGGCTGAGCATCAGGGTAAAGTGCCTCTCGGCACAAACCCAGTCACCCTGAGAGCAGAGAAGGGGCTTTTAATCCGACCTATCTCCCCTCCTTGAACACCACCCCCCCCCTGCCCCCCAGGAACTGCTGAAGGATGGGAAGAGGGAGACCACCATCAGCCAGCTGCTGATTAACCCCACAGACCTGGACATCGGGCGTGTGTTCACCTGCCGCAGCGTGAACGAGGCCATCCCGACTGGCAAGGAAACATCCATCGAGCTGGATGTCCACCGTGAGCAGGGTCCTGGGGAGGAACCAGATCCCGGGGAGAGGAAAGAGGGGCAGGCCACACCCGTACCACCTTTGAGAAGCACAGGAGAATCTTCCCCAGGGTTTCAGCAGCTCCCAGGTCTAAGCCAGGGTGTGACGACTTTGTCTCTCTGAGCCTCAGTTTCCAATTCTGTATACTTACAGAAGACGAAATATGTAGGATTTATAATCCCTATCCCAAATTCCAAACCTGAAGGTATTTGGAGGTGAAACTTGAACCGCGGCTCTTTGGAGATTTTATTTAGCGCACTTACTCTGACTAGTTGTGTTTCACTTCAAGAGTGTTAATGTGGATGATTCTGGGGTGTTGCCCCGGCCTTGGTGGGGGTCTTTTAAAATTTGAAAAAATTCCCAAATTCTGAAAGGCAATTAATTAAGTCTCCAGCTGAGGGACTGTGACGCTATACCTGCTTCGTTATTAAATGAGACACCATGTAAGAGCACCTAGTGACTAGCTTGCCAGTGGAGGGGGCTGAAGATTGCCCTCCGCGTTAGCGAGCCCGGCGAGCCCACGCTGACGTCTAGCGGCCGCAGTCGGGCATCACACCCCCTGGGTAATTCGTTCCGTGGGCTTCTCCCTGGGTCCTCACCGAGCGAGCCCCCTAGCGGCTCTCTAGGGTAAAACGAACGGCGAGAGCTTAGCCCAGCTGGTAGACGCCAACTCAAATTCCCAGGCCGGTGCCCAGAGGCGGGGGCAGTGCCTGTGCTAAGGAGAAAAAAAGACACGAGGGGTAGACCCTCACTTACTGTCCCCTGCTTTGCAGACCCTCCTACGGTGACCTTGTCCATTGAGCCACAGACGGTGCAGGAGGGCGAGCGTGTCGTCTTCACGTGTCAGGCCACGGCCAACCCCGAAATCCTGGGCTACAGGTGCGGGGTGGGGTGAGGCGCACCCTGGAGTGACACAGGAGGGGCCTGGCCCTGAGCCCTGTCTGCTGCCCGTCCCCCAGGTGGGCCAAAGGGGGCTTCCTGATTGAAGACGCCCATGAGAGCCGCTACGAGACCAACGTTGATTATTCCTTCTTCACGGAGCCAGTGTCCTGTGAGGTTCACAACAAAGTGGGGAGCACCAACGTCAGTACCTTAGTGAACGTGCACTGTGAGTTCCGCCAGGGCTCGGTGGGTGTGCGGGACCGCGGGGGCGGCCCGAGGCCGGCAGGAGCACGGAGCAGCAGAAAGGGGGGGCCGGCCGGACTGCGCCCTGCGCCTGCAGACGCCGGCCATCTGTTCCCTTCCACCACAGTTGCTCCTCGGATCGTGGTTGATCCCAAACCCACCACCACAGACATCGGCTCTGATGTGACCCTCACCTGTGTCTGGGTTGGAAACCCTCCCCTCACCCTCACCTGGACCAAAAAAGACTCAAACATGGTAAGCGGCTCCTGTCCTGCCCTGTGTGCAGGGAGCGGCCCCTGGGGAGTGGCAGCGGGGGAGGGCCCGGCTTTCTCTATCAACTTGAACGTGGGCTATTTGTTGGGTCTTGGGATCTGAAAGAAGAAGGTAGCGCTTGCAGTCACCCCTTCACTGGCCAGGCCAGTGGGGGGTAGGGGGGGGTGCTGGCAGTGGCCTGAGGCTGAGCAGCAGCAGGGTGGGTGGGACCCTGTCAGGAGTGCTTCCTGCTAGAGAAGCAGGGGCCGCTAGAGCACCGTGATTTCCAAGCTCCGGTCCTTAGATAGTTCGGACCCAACTAGGGGAGGAGGGACTTTAGAGTGGAACTTCTTAGCTTATTTGACTAGAAAAGTCTAGAACAGAACATCAGAAGATGGCACCGCAGCTTTACCCGCTTCCTGGCCACCGTCCTCTCTGCCCGCTTTCTCAGAGAGGGTGGTTTAAATGGGGTTAGCCACAGACTCGGGGCCCGGTTTCCCTTCTGGGAATTCACTTGTGGCCCTTCCTGCTTTCCTCCCAATGCCTCCGGTGTGGGGCCCACACGGACCTAGGGGCCCCGGCCTCCTGGCTCCCCACCCGAGGCTGCTCTCTCTGCCCAGGTCCTGAGTAACAGTAACCAGCTGCTGCTGAAGTCAGTGACGCAGGCAGACGCGGGCACCTACACCTGCCGGGCCATTGTGCCCCGGATTGGGGTGGCTGAGCGGGAGGTGCCGCTTTTCGTGAATGGTGAGTGGCCCGAGGGGGGGGCTGGGGCAGGCTGGGCGCGTGGCTGCGGCTGGCCCCGACGGTGCCTTCTGCTTGCAGGGCCCCCCATCATCTCCAGCGAGGCGGTGCAGTACGCTGTGAGGGGGGATGGAGGCAAGGTGGAGTGTTTCATCGGGAGCACGCCACCCCCGGACCGCATAGTGAGTGCGCGCCACGGGCCTGGGGCCCTGGCCGCTGCATCTCCCTCCGGCACCCCACCTGCTCTCTCTGCCCCCTCCTTCTGCTGTCCCTATTTTTGTGACACTGTCTAGGCCTTTGACTTTCTGTCCTCCGTCCCGTGCCTGGTCAAGCGCCACCTCCCCACGTACTTTTCATGTGACCCTGAGCAAAGTACTTTTTCCTCACCCAGGAAGGGGGGTGAGGGACCCCTGCCTCACAGGTTGCCGGGAAGGTGGTACGCAGCCGTAGTTGTGGGGGCTGGCCGAGCCCCTCCGTTCGTTGTTTGCGCCCCTCGGCTGAGGCGCTTGCTCCCCTTCTCCATCATCTCCCTCCCTTGCCCCAGTCTCCTGATCTGTGCTGGCCCTTAGTCTCCAGCTCCCCCACCTGCCCCTGAGGGAGCTCCAGCAGGCCACACTCTTCTCCTTTCTCCCACCTCCTCCACAGGTCCCCTCACCACCTCCTTCCCCCCTCCTTTCTCCTCTCCCCCACACCATGAGCTATTAATTCCTTCCGTGACCATTAACCGTCAAACCCCTCATCACATTTAATGACCATTTGGCTAACTCCAGGGCTGCCCAGGGACACTTCATTACCACAGCCGCCTGGGCAGCAGGCAGACCGGCTCCCCAGGGGGCTCTCCTCGCAGGACGGGGAGGATTGATCCCTGGATTGGAGCCAGGGCTTCACTCTGAGGGAGGGCATGAAAGCGGGGGGGGGGGGTTCCCCCAGGCTGGGAGTTCAGGGTGATGGAGCCTCCGATGAACCTGTGGGAAGAGCATACCGCAGGTGGGCACCTATGGGTTGGCACGGGGTCAGGTTGAAGACTGAGTTATGTTTAGTCAGACTCCCAGACGTCTGTGCTGGAGGAGCCTTGAGCGCCATCTAGTTCAAGCCTGGTTCTTTCACTTAACAGGAGGAAACTGAGGGCCAGAGAGGGGAGGACACACCACACAGGGACCCGCGCAGAGCCCTGTCCTGTTTGACTGCCCGTCCAGGGCCTTTTCAACCTCACCCAGGACCCCCAAATGTGGAGTCATTAGATGAGCTGCAGCCACACTGACTAGTCACACCCTCATTATAAAAACAGAGGTTCCTGAGCTTCCTTTACTTTTAGGAGCTAAGTCCTGAGAGTCTGGGTTTTAGAGCATATCAATAGACACGGATGACGCTCAGTTCTGTGGGGAGCCTCTGCTTCTGCCAGACTGCAAGTTCAGTGCCAGGCTTTGGGCAGTAGGTGTGACTTGGTCTGTTTCAGGCTGGGCATGAAGGTGAGGCCTGCTCCTTCCTGACCTCTCCACTCCCCTCTCCAGGCCTGGGCATGGAAAGAGAACTTCCTGGAGGTGGGGACCCTGGAGCGCTACACAGTGGAGAGGACAAACTCGGGCAGTGGGGTGCTGTCCACGCTCACCATCAACAACGTCATGGAGGCCGACTTCCAGACCCACTACAACTGCACTGCCTGGAACAGCTTCGGGCCAGGCACGGCCATCATCCAGCTGGAAGAGCGAGGTGACCAGCTGCACTGGCATGTAGCGGGGTGCAGAGCAGTGGGGTGCCGCTTCCCTCTCCTGTCACACGAGGCAGCTCCCACCAGTGCCTCGCCTTGGTGCTCAGCTGAGGAAACCTGCTCACCTTCCTAGACATCCCCAAGCGTCAGCCTGTGCACAGGCTGCAGGGACACCACGTAGCCCTCGCCCCTAAGAACACCAGCTTGGGGACTCAGAGTGGCAGCAGTGGCTTCACGTGGAGACACGTCAAACGGTCTGTGAAAGGGAGAAGTGCCACCCACCTTGCTGGGCTGTGTGACGATTAAGCGAGAGAATGTTCATAGAACGAACACCTGGCGCACAGCCAGGGCTCAGTAAGCCTTGGCTCTCTAGTGGGGAGACGTGCACCCTCCTTCAGGCACCTCTAACCTGATAAAAGAGCCCTCACATTTCACTTCCAGAAGCTCCCATATCTGATGTCTGATGAGGGGGAGAGATGTGGTTTTTCTTTTGAGAAATAGCCATTTGACCTGGGAGAAGGGGCAGATAACTGAGATCCCATCGGTTCAGTCTTAGCTGAGGGTACTACCAGGAGGGGGGTGGGGTGGGGGGAGGAACAGAGCAGAGTAAGGCAGGACCTTGCAGGGAAGGCTTTCTGGAAGCAAGAGGCCTGTGGGGCTCTGCTCAGGAAGAAAGGAAGCTGGAGGCAGGACTTCAGATGCTTCTCTTCTGGGAAGCAAGGGCCACTTCGGAGGCCCGAGTGGGTAGGTACTGACAGAGAAGGCTGTGAGAAGGGTTGGAACACAGGTGGCAGAGAGAGCGTGGAGCAGGAGGCCTCAAAAAGAGCCAGCCGGCCCTCCCTGGTGGCGCAGCGGGTTAAAGCACAGCACTGAGAAGCTAAAACCACTTCAGCACGAGTTTGATCCCCGCCCCGGAGGTGACCCACACGGTTGGCAGACCTCTCCTGGCCCACCCGCTGCTCCCCTCAGCAGTGTGCTTCTTAGTCGGCCTGCTCTGCTCCCCACTCTGTCCTGGTGAAGCCTCTCACCACCCCCTGCACCTCTGGCCTGTACCCCAGCTCTGTATGCATGAATAAATAAATCTTTAAAAAAAAAAAAAAAGAGCCAGAGCCAGCCCAGGAGAAGCCGAGCCTCGCAGACAGGAGGACGGGGGAGAGGGCATGGCTGGGAAGGAACCACAGACATATGCTCTGGCCCAGGGAAGAGACATGACCATGACCCCAGCTCGATCAGGCTGAAACAGGCCTGAGCCCAAGGCAGCGCAGCCCGGCCTCACCTCCAGCCCCGACCTGACCCAGTGCTGTCATAACAGCGCTGCACAAACATGGTCCTTACACAGTCCAGGGAGGCTGGTGGGGCTGGAAGTGGCCTACGTGTCAGCACCGAGCCCAGGTCCCATGTGGCTCCACCCTTACCGCTGCTCCTTTCCTCCTCTCCTCTGAAGAGGTGTTACCGGTGGGCATCATCGCCGGGGCCACCATTGGTGCGGGCATTCTGCTCATCTTCTTCTTCATCGCCCTGGTGTTCTTCCTCTACCGGCGCCGCAAGGGCAGTAAGTACAGCGCCCTCCCATTCCCGGACCCCCACAGGTGGTGGCTGGGAGAGCTGGGTCTAGGCAGGTGCGCTCCCCAGCCCAGGTGGCTCCAGAAGCAGCCACTGCAGGGCTGGCGCAAGCGTCCAGGCTGCTTCCCTGCCCCAGGTCGCAAGGATGTCACCCTGAGGAAGCTGGACATCAAGGTGGAGACAGTGAACCGCGAGCCACTAACCATGCACTCTGACCGCGAGGACGACACGGCCAGCGTCTCCACAGCCACCCGAGTCATGAAGGCCATCTACTCGGTGAGCGTCCCGGCGCCCTGGCTCGCCCACCACTTCGCCAATGTTACCGCCACTGGCCTCCCTCCGTCGGCCTGCCGTGGTCCTCACACGCATGCGTCCACACGTGTAAAGCTTCACATGTGCACACACGTGCGCCCCAGCCTATCGGATGGGCAGGGAGGGGGCTTCCCATAGCCTCCTTCGCCCCGGCTTTCCCCACCAGTCAGTGCTGGAAGCTGCTAGAGGTTTTCCAGTGCCCCTCACTACGATGAGGACACGCAGTCCCAGAGGCTGGCAGTACTGCAAGGCTGTGCTGCAAAGTGGTGATGCAACCAAGTCTCTGGCCTTCTCCCACCCCACCCCAGCGCCCCCGCTGGGACAGGACAGAACCCAAACCAGCCGTGACCCATGGCCTCCGGGCGGAGGGCGGGAGTGGGCCTGGCAGGTGATCAGGTTGGGCCGGCTGCTGATCCTCTACTCTGCTCTGCAGTCCTTTAAGGATGATGTCGACCTGAAGCAGGACCTGCGCTGTGACACCATCGACACGCGGGAGGAATATGAGATGAAGGTGGGAAGGGGGCGAGCCAGGGCACGAGGGCCGGTGGGAAAGTGGGGCTCCAAGGGAGAAGGCAGGCTTGGGGAGGAAGGTCAGGAGGTGTAGTGAGGGGAGAGAGGAGGTGGAGAGATACTGGCTGGGAAGTCAGACCAGAGCCAGGGAGGAGGTCCCAGGGCCATGGCAGGACTGGGCATGTACCCCAGGGGCTCCTTCATCATCTTCTTCTCTCACTGTCCCCCAGGACCCCACCAATGGCTACTACAATGTGCGTGCCCACGAAGACCGCCCGTCTTCCAGGGCGGTGCTGTACGCTGACTACCGTGCCCCCGGCCCCGCCCGCTTCGACGGCCGCCCCTCCTCCCGCCTGTCCCACTCCAGTGGCTACGCCCAGCTCAACACCTACAGCCGGGCCCCGGCCTCCGACTACGGCCCTGAGCCCACGCCCCCGGGCCCTGCTGCCCCCGCTGGCACCGATACCACCAGCCAGCTGTCCTACGAGAACTATGAGAAGTTCAACTCCCACCCCTTCCCCGGGGCAGCAGGGTACCCCACCTACCGACTGGGCTACCCTCAGGCCCCGCCCTCCGGCCTGGAGCGGACCCCTTATGAGGCGTATGACCCCATCGGCAAGTATGCCACGGCCACGCGATTCTCTTACACCTCCCAGCACTCGGACTACGGCCAGCGGTTCCAGCAGCGCATGCAGACTCACGTGTAGGGCCGCGCCTGGCCGGGCCTCTCTGCGGGCAGAGGAGAAGGGCTCCCAGCTTTCCCTGATATTCAGGGGCATTGCTCCTCACTCCGGCCCGGACCGCCTTGCTCTTCCTGCTGTGGCAGGTGGGGAGCAGGTCTCCCGGAAACACCCCTTCCCGAGGATGGTGCTGTGTGTGCACCCCACCTCCTGGGCCTGCCGTCCCTCTTCTTCGGGAGGATGTGTCTCTTCTGACCTGTGGCCTCTCCTGGTCCGGCATGGGGACAGGAAGCGAAGGTTGTGGAGAGCAGAGGGTTTCAGCATTCCCTTTCTACCCCAGCCCTCTGGTCTCCTGTAAGTGGACAAGGGGTCGGTGACTGGAGATGTGCGGGCGTGGGCCTGGGGGTGGACCTGTTGGCGGGGGCTCTGGCCCAGACAGACAGCAGCAGGATGGCCCACAGGCTCCTGGCCGACTGATTCGTGCCCTAGGTGTGTCTCTTCCTCTTTGGGACTGCAGAGGACCTTGGCTTTATCTTAGCTGTCCACAGGCAGCACCGAGGCCAGATCCAACCCCCATTCAGCATGTGCCGGTCATCCTGACTGCCCACCATGGACTCCTGTCCAACACGTGCTGGAGTAGCCAGGTATCACTGGTCATGCCGCCCCTTCCCTTCCCTTCCACGCTGCCCCAGATAAGTCGGGGGCTGTGGTGAGGAAAGGCCAGGAGCCATGTCCCTGTTCACCAGCAAGACAGCAGGATGCTGCACAGTGGTTTCCAGAACCCGTACCAGAGGGACTCCATCCAAGCTCCCTCCTCTCTCTGATCTGCCCTGCTTCCTAGCCTCCTTTCAAGCCTGCTGAGTGGGGTGAGGGGGAGGGTGCTATAGGCTATTTCTCAAAGACAGCAAAAAACCTTGAAAACCTCATTAGGAAAAAAAAAACAAAACCCAACAGCTGTAGGGGCCCCCCAACCAAATGCAAATCCCAGTGGAAAGGAAATGAACACCTGTCTTCTCTGCCAGATTCCTAACACTGTCCATTGTTCTGGGCCTCCGAGCACTTTGAATCCACACTGAAACATTCAGGTGGTGAGACCTGTCTCCCCATGGGTTCCAAAGGACTTAGGGAGGGGGCCCTGCTCCCAGACTCTGCTGCCTATCCTGGGGCCCATCAGCTAGCTGGAGGCCACCTCGTGGGGGGCATGGGCAATGTTCCCTAGCCAGGTTTGGGTTGTTCTGTATCTTTTTCTTTTTTGACCACTCAGATTCCTTCTTCTACTTTCAGTGCCTTGAGTGTCCAGCTTCTGTTGGCCAGCCCCGTGCGGGCAGTTGTACAGAGTGGGCACTTGTGAGTCCCAGACACACTGTCAGGTGTTGCAGTTTAGGGCTCAGGTGGGTAAGGGGGCTGGTAAGAGGAAGGCCCGCCAGGTGAGGTGAACAGAAGGGCACAGCAGGCAGCTGTGGCTGCTCCCGCCAGGGCACTCACGCGCGTGCCACCGGCCGGTCTCAGCCACCACCTTCTGACCAAAGAGAACCGGCACTGTCCTGCCCTGGGCTCACTTCCCAAGCAGCAGAGTCCACGCTCCCTCTTCTGGCCCGGCCGGGATGTGCTCTTCCTACACCTGACGCCTTCGTGCTAGGTTCTTTTTTGTGAGCTTAGTAAGAAGGCTGTTCCGGATACAGGTCCCGGTGCAGGTGAATTCACCCCCCCCCCTTTTTTTTTTTTTTTTTTTTTTTTTTCACAAAGACCGGAAGCCAGGAGTGACCCAAGTGACCCAAACAGATAAGGTCTAAAGATGGTGGCTTTTTAAATAGTTCCCCCAAAATACTCACTTTTGTTTCAGATTTGGGCACATTCTCACATTCTCTCCTTTCTCTTTCTTCCTTTTGGTTTTAGTGTTGGGGCTGTTGTGTTGAAATGATGGAGAGGAGGGGCCCAAGGTAGTAAGGTAACCCAGCCAGTGAGCATTAGTTTGGGAAGCCTTATTTCAGAGCTACTGTACTTTTACTGTGTCTTCAACATTACCCGGGCCTGGTGGTGTCACGCAGGCGCCAGGTGGAGAACAGAGGCAGTAGCCACTGGCAGTCCCTGCAGCCACCTCTGTGTTCTGACCTGTGTGCCCCTGTGTTCTGACCTGAACCTGAAATGGGACATGCCAGCTAGACACACAGAAGTGGCAGGTGCTCTCGGACCTAGATCTGTACTGCCTGAGGCCAGAGTCCCCCAGAAAGGTCGTCGTGCTCCATGTGGTTGCCTGGAGACCCTGCCTGCCTTTCATGTGCTTGCTTCAGAGGGAGAGTAAGGGCTGAGTCAGGAGCCCTGCGAGCCAGGGTAAGCTGCTGTTTACCAGGCCGTTGGCCTGGCCTCTTCACTTCCACTGCCCCCAGTTCTCCAGCCTGCAAGTCTAGAATTATGCTGTTACCACTGCATTCGTTTGGTGAGTGAAGGGGCCTGGTCATGCCTGCAGGGAGTTGGGAATGTCAGTGAGCAGGGTGAGGTATGAGAGAGTTGAAAGGTTCTCTTGAAAGAAGCTTTCACCTTGGCCTTCACCACCTACCTAGTAGGAAAGTCAAGTAGTTTCCACTCAGAGCCCGTTTTTCCCTTCGAGCAGCCAGAAGCACACCCTCAGCCTCAGTGTGAAGTGACCATGGGGTGGTCCTTTGGCCTTTCAGTAGCTGCTGCTCCCCACTTGGAGTCTCATTTCTGAGAGGCATCTGCGCCAGGGTAGGGTGCTGCGCCTGCACTGCCTGCTGCGGGAGCCGACAGCTTCCTCTGTGAGGAGAGACCGGGCGCCACCTCCCTGCCACCCTGCAGCATCCCCAGGGGCAGGCCCGTGCACGGAGCAGCTCATGCCTCTGCGAAGGGGCAGGTGTGAAGGGCAGCTGCAAAGGGAGGAGGGCACAGCCATTCTGACGAATTCTGGATCTTTCTTGGAGAAATGCTTGCGATTCTGGATGAACCTTTCCTCATGGACTGTCCAGTTTGAATCCGAAAGCTGAACCCTCTAAGTCCAGCCATCGTTTGTGTGAAGCTAAGCACGAGTCTGAAAGGAGGGTGGGCAGGGACAGGTGCCATGACAGGTGTGCTCATCATTCTGGCTTGGGCTGAACGAGGTTAGCCTGACCCACGTCCAGCACTGAGCCCTCCCTGCCCCAGTGGTGCTGCTTCCCTCGTGGTTGTAGGGTGACCTTCTTGCTCTGAGCACAGAGCACATACCTGGTATCTCTGGCCTCCTGCCCCTCATAACCAGTGGGCACTCTGAAAAGGAGCCACAGTCTTTCAAATGGAACCAAGGTCTTGGTACTTGACCATACAGCAATGTGGGCCATTCAGGTTTGCAGGAAAACCCACTGTGCACGCCTGTCCCCTCTGCTGTACCTCCCATGCCATGCCAGTTTCGGAAACCCTGGCTTCCCACCATTTGGGGCTGTGCGCCCTAAGCCAGGCCACTGTTCTGTGCCTCTGTGGGCCCAGCCGCATGTTGCAGAAGTCATCTGCAAGGCATTCGTGATGCTCCTGGCCCGGAAGGGGGTCCCGGGAGGAGGCGGTAACGCAGCACCAAAGTGCACAGACCAAGGGATGTAATTGGAAATGCATTTATTTTTGTGAAGAGGCTATACAGTGAGCATTTAGGTATCCCATTATCCCATTTCCTTCTCCCACACCTCCCTTCATGGGATCACGCCTCCATCCTAGAGACCAGCTCTGGCCTCCCTTGGATCTGCATGGTCCTGATTTCAGCCTTGTGCTGGGGGAGCTGTGGGGAAGGGAGTGGATTCCACCCCC